TTTTGCGGTACGCGGGCCTCTCACTGTTGTGGCCTCTCCCGTTGCGGAGCACAGGCTCCGGACGCGCAGGCTCAGCGGCCGTGGCTCACGGGCCCAGCCGCTCCGCGGCATGTGGGATCCTCCCGGACCGGGGCACGAACCTGTGTCCCCTGCATCGGCAGGCGGACTCTCAACCACTGCGCTACCAGGGAAGCCCTTCAATTATTTTTTTACACCAAGCATGACATATACTAGGCAACCAATAAATATTAGTCAATGTTAATATAAAGAAATGAAAAAGAACATGTAGGAAACAAGGAAAAGAAACCAGATCTTTCAAACGGTAAATTAGGGAGAGGGGGAGTCTTTTTAATTACTGAAAAGGGTCATTTATGAAAAATAATAAATATTTTTTAAAGATAGTAATTTTATATAATATGGCACTAATATGGGATATAGAAAGTATATTTATATACTTTTAAGAGAAATTATATCAATCAGTGATGAATCCATAAGTTTATCAGGGAATCTTGGAATAACTGGTCATAAATCTGTAATCATTTGAAATTAAAGTTACACAGGATAGCCACGCTAAAAGTTAAAAACAGAAATTTCGAGATGTCACTGGTGAAGATATGATTTTGACTACAGAAAATCAGACATTTTATTTATTAACGATTTGTATACAGTATTTGGAAATACTGTATTAATTCATATATGAATATGCTTCCTGCTCAACTAGAGTATAACCTGTCTTTCTAAACTATAAACACCCCGAAGAAAAATCTCTCCACTGGCAGTATCTGATAGAATTCTCAGCTTAGAGTAGGTATGAAATAAATGAAACAAATACACTTTACTTGTAAGCTCACCCAACACCATTAGGGGAGCAACAGCCACAGACACGAAAAGCCAAACACAAGACGCATGCAGTCTCTCTTGCTTCAAGTCTGCTTTAAAATACTTGGGGGAGGGATCAACAGCACTGTCACATGTCACATTACTTAATGTGTGTCTCTCAAACTAAAACTAGAAATGCCATTACTTCAATTTCATCAATTAACTGGCCATCTATTATCCAGTACTAGTAATGAGATTATGAGAAAGTCCCTTAAAACTTTTGCAGAATAAAGGTACTAAGTGTTTCCCCAGCAAATACTATGAATAATTTTTATTATTATATATAATTGTTTTGTGTGTATTTCATAGAATTATGCTTCTTAACTGAAAATTTTAAGTTTCATGACAGTTGGTAAGTATAAATATCTGCAGTTTTAAGTATCAATCATTTGAACATCTGTTTTTCTAATTTTTTGTTAGCTACTTAAGAATACAAACACTAACTCACCAGGCATTATGAACAATACTTATGGAAACCATTTTGTAGCAGCACATTAGAATCTCAGGGATAATGGATCATAATCCATTCACATCTCATATTCTAAACAACCCCTGAAATAGTCTATGAATAAATATATTGCACCCAGAGGAAATGGATCATTACTTGAAGTGCATCCATTAATTTTATTACTTGTGTACAGTGCATAACAGACTGTTAGAATAATTTTAATTGTGCACCACCTTCCATGGAAGTACTTCAAAACTGCCACTTAAAGTGAAGTATTCCTCATCGAGTATATTCAGCATTAGCCATAAGGTCAGGGTAGAATAATGCAAAAACCTGTGTTTTCAGAGCTCTTGAATTAGAAGAGTATTTGGAATGAAAACTTAAAGTTGCTAATACATAGTCCCTATTTTTGTTGCATATTAAATGAGGGTCATTGCAAATACATTTGGCATTCAATATAACAGCCTAAAATGTGATAGAAATTTAATTAGAGTCCATGAAAATGAGGTCTGAGTATTATAGGCTAATTCTAGAGGTGTTTCTGGTGACACTAACTTTTATACAACTTCCACGTCACCTTATTTTAAAAATAGCTTTTAAAAATAGGCTGACATAAAATTCATATCCCTAATAAGAATACATAAATTTATGAATATAACTTTCTTCATTTTTTTCTCTTTCTAAACAGTATTGAATTGTAAGAGCAAAAAGTCAGATCCCTACTCCTATTTTTTCTAACATCTTTATTAGAGTTACAATGCTGTGTTAGTTTCTGCTTTATAACACAGTAAATCAGTTATACATATAAATACATCCCCATATCTCTTCCCTCTTGCATCTCCCTCCCTCCCACCCTCCCTATCCCACCCCTCTAGCATCTCACAAAGCACAGAGCTGATCTCCCTGTGCTATGCGACTGCTTCCCACTAGCTATTTTACATTTGGTAGTGTATATATGTCCATGCCACTCTCTCACTTTGTCCCAGCTTACCCTTCCCCCTCCCCGTATCCTCAAGTCCATTCTCTAGTAGGTCTGCATCTTTATTCCCGTCTTGCTCCTAGGTTCTGCATGACCTTTTTTTTTTTTTTAGATTCCATATATATGTGTTAGCATACAGTATTTGTTTTTCTCTTTCTGACTTACTTCACTTTGTATGAGACTCTAGGTCCATCCAACTCACTACAAATAACTCAATTGTTTCTTTTTATGGCTGAGTAATATTCCATTGTATATATGTGCCACATATTGTTTATCCATTCATCTGTTGATGGGCACTTAGGTTGCTTCCATGTCCTGGCTATTGCAAACAGAGCTGCAATGAACATTTTGGTACATGACTCTTTTTGAATTATGGTTTTCTCAGGGTATATGCCCAGTAATGGGATGGCTGGATGGTATGGTAGTTCTATTTTTAGTTTTTTAAAGAACCTCCATACCATTCTCCATAATGGCTGTATCAATTTACATTCCCACCAACAGTGCAAGAGGATTCCCTTTTCTCCACACCCTCTCCAGCGTTTACTGTTTGTAGATTTTTTGATGGTGGCCATTCTGACCGGTGTGAGATGATATCTCATTGTAGTTTTGATTTGCATTTCTCTGATGATTAATGATGTTGCGCATGCTTTCATCTGTTTGTTGGCAATCTGTATATCTTCTTTGGAGAAATGTCTATTTGTTTTTGTGACTAATTTTCCACAACAACAGTAATCACTTAAATTTTCTCCCTTCACACACACATACACACACACCGGGCAGAGTCTTTTCCTTTGGAGATTAAACGAAGAAAAATGTGTCTGTCAATTAACAACATTT